GGCTTCTTTGGCACTCTGCACTATTTCCCCCCCAACATCCCTACGCTAAGATTAAAGAGATCCTCTCCAGTCCCTCGCAAGTATCAATCACCTTTGGGAGAAACGGACTAGGCCACTGGAGTGATACATGAAATTTTATCAAAGTGAGATTGGGAGGTATCCATGGAGAGCGAGAGCCAGACCCCAGGTAAGTGTCTGGGAAAGTCTACAGAGCAAGACATAGGAGTCCTCCTGTCCAAAGACAGGCTTCTACTCCCTCACTGTTGTCAATTTTGGGGAGTTCAGGGCAGATAGAGACCAGGAAGACACAGTTGCATCCTGTGCAGACTTCCCAATCCTGGCTTCTTCTCTGAGTACTTTAACACCTGCTGAGCACAGGCACCTGGGGCAGGGGGTGGCCTGGGGTCTGGGCATGCAGCTGCCTCTGTTGGGAAGGCCCCTCACCTCCCAGCCCTCCTCTTGCTTGCCCCAATTCATATTTGTCTTCTAGGCCTCTACTTAAGTACTTTATCCTCTCCTAAATCTTGATCCCTCCAGGCTAGATTGGGTCGTTCTGGCTGTTCTTAAAGTTCTTTGTGCTTCACCCAAATTGGAGGATAATCTCACTCTATTGTAATTGTTTCTTTACATCCCCATCTCCTCCATTAACTGGTCAGCTTCTTGAAGACAGGTGCCAAGCTGTGCCCTCCTAGCCTCAGTGCTCTGCATATACATGGAATATGATTTGTTACTTGAATAAATTAGCATATCTTCACATAAAGCAGGGAACTGATATTACACAGAAATTAAGGGTATAGTCTTTTGCCATTTGCTGACTGTGTTACTTGGGGCAAATCACTTAAGCACTCTGAAAACAATTTTATGCTCTGGAAAACAAGAATAGTAGAATACCTGCTTAATAGGGAGCTTTGAGAATTTAGATTTTCCACATTAAAGATATTTAGCCCTGAATTACCACAGGCAATCTGAGCTCAAAAAATGTTGAGAAGAGTTATTAGTAACTACGGAGTTATTGTTATTACTACCATCCGCCCCTGTTTTCTGTCCTTGGAATCAGTGACTTCTACCCTGTCAGGTAAGAACCTGAGGCAAAAAGCCAGCAGCCTCCTCGCTCAGCCACATGCCAAGAGTCGCGCCCAAGAGCCTTATGCCTTCAGGCTATCTGATTACACTTGTATCTTGGATGTTCCTCTGTGATTTTCCTCACACGTGCCTCAGGACTGATAGCGTTAGCTAGAAATAGTAGCCTTCGCCTGCTGGCTGATCACGGTCTTCCGCACACAGGAGTTTCTGCAGAGAGGTATGTCAAGCCCCTCATGTCCCACTATGAGCTTTTGTTGGCTTCCTTCACTACGTATTGTTCTCTGTGGTTTTTATCTTAGCCTGGTATGCAATGAGGGAAGAAAAGTTCTGTGGTGCCAAGAATAAAGATTCCAAGAGGTAGCTGGAGCACAGGGGCTTTCAAAAGTGTAAAACAATGTGGTGATTCTTCTCAGGGCCTGTATGTTATGGCTTTAATTCTCTTCCTGAAAGACAAGTACAAGGCGATCTCTCCAGGAAGCTCTGTGAGGCCTTACCAACACCCAGGGAAAGCTGATCCTGAGGCAAAAGTGCAGCTTTCCACAGATAAGAGCAATGTTTGATCTTGACAATCAAACATTGGTTGATGACAGTCAGGCTGGAGTCCAGGAGATGTCTTCTCTCATTGTCTGTAGAGCAACACTCAACTCCTTTGCCCCACCTTTCTGCCAAGAACATGACACCTACATTTATTGCCCTTCAAGAGATCTGTCAGTTTGGACACAAGATCACAAATTACAGTGTACATATTTTTAAATATTGATCCATTTTTCTATGACCCAATTAACATTATATCTCATCTCATTTAATTCTAAAACACTATGAGATAATTATCATTATTCCCCTTTTGAAGATGAGAAAAATGAGGCTTAGCCAAGGTAAATGATTTGCCAAAACACATACTCATTAACTGGTAGAGAGGAGAAGAGATCCATTAGTAAGAGTTTCTAACTTTACTCTAAGCTTTTGAAAAGTAAGAAAGACTCCCAAAATCTTATTTTCTATAACAAAGTATGTGGCTAGGTATGCAAATAGGCATAAGGCAAGGGAAAAATGATATCTTATTTAACAAATAATTTTTCTTATAAATAGCCAACTATATATATATGTATATATATATATATATATCAACTACATGTGACAACTTTACAGATATATAAATATAGTAATTTGTGTATGTGTGTATAGGATATGTTCTTGGGAAAATGTGAAGATTAAGATAATGGATATGATATTTGCAGGAAAAATTGTATTCACGAGAAGGGTAGCATTCACACATACACTGCATAATGTAACTCGTAAGGTCTGGGGTAGAGAAGCCTGCTCACAGGGCAGGACATGAATTTCTGACTGGAATCCAGTCCTGGTTCCGCCATCGATGGGGGAAAGTTACTAACCCTCCTGCCTTTGGGTGTCTTCATTTGTAAAATAAATAGTTAAGCTAGGACAGTGGCTCCCAAATAGTGGCCTGTGATGAAATTTTCATTAGTTCATGGTGAAAAGAGAAAAATAAAAACAATAGACTTATTTGTATAAATTCATTTATTTTATAAATATGTTAAAATGGCTTGCTTTGATGAACAATGGGGATTTTGTTTCCTCTTTGAACATCCTCACACAATTCAAGTATGTCCTCTATAATGGAACCCTAATAGTGAAAGTATATCTGTCTTTTTACTAGTTCATAAATCAAAAGGTCTGGCAACCACTCAACCACTAATGTCCTGTCCAGCTGCAAAATCCTATCCTCTTCTTAAATCACAGATGATATAAAACTAACTCTAAAGTGGGAAGGAAAAGAATAGAAACCCCTTTTATTCCCCTCCCCACCTTGTTCTTGTTTAGCTCAGCATTTCCCCAAAGGTGTCCTGTGAAAGACAAGCCCCCAGTAAGATATTAGAGCTATTTCACTAGAGAAAGGATTCTTAGTCAAATGAGTTTGAGAAACAATGGGTTAAAAATGTTGGGCAGGTTTTTTTACTGAGTAATTCTCAGACGTTGTGAAATTCTCACATCTGTTGGGACTCCCCAAAAGACGACAAAGCACGAACACTCCTGAAGTTATGGGTGGAGAGCATATGCCTGCCCAACCCCCTTTTGAGGTCAGTACACCTATTCTAGGAACACAGTTTGAGAAAGGTGACTTCAGCTAAAAGAAATTTCCTTAGTAGCTTCCATTATAAAGAAAAACATAGCACCAGAGACAAGGGGACTGCCAATTATTTTATAATATAATTATTCTAATTTGACAGGGCTTTTTAACAACAAAGCTACAGATATTTCTTAAAATTACAAAGAAAACCTGGATGAAAATTCTTCAAATTAAAGTGCAAAGAACTAGACAAAGTTTTGTGGCCATTTTGGGCAACTTTTCTTTTAACCACAACAAATAAAGGAAAACTGTGTCAAGAGATTTGTATCCAGTGATTGCAACATGATAATTAAAGCATTTGGAATTTGCAGAAGCCTGCAGTAACAAAATTATGGCTATCATCCCTACACAGTGAATATGAGGTAAAATAAAACCATCTGTAGGTACTGAGCCTGAGAAAACCCATTTTCTCTCAAATGATGTGTCCTTGTTAAATATTTCAGCAGGAGGAACAATTAATTCTAAATGCTTGTGCCTCCTAAATGATTTACTTAAACACTTTCACCTTGATCAAGAAACAAACTTCTTAATAGAAGAAAAAGGTCTAATAGTATGTGTTTGTATTTATTTATTTGCTTGTTTGTTTATTTATTTATTTATTTCTGCATAATTATCTGATGAGAGTTAAGAAGGTTTACTCAGCCCCTTTTATTGCTTTTTACATCACCAAGCGAAATATCAACTAGCTGAATCCTCCAGCCCTCACATTCTAGATTCAAGTTTCACCACACTGAGGAGAGAACAGTTTTCACTTGGGACAAGATGATTTTGGAACAAACTATCCAAAGGGAGGACCTAGGAAGGATCTTTTGGATATTCTGACACTAACAACCTTTCTTTCTGATTCTGTGCACACCAGGTTTTTGACAAGCCTGTGGCTCTGCATTACTTCTAATATTTTCCATCATAACTGTATAGTAAGTTCAGCCTGTTTTTCATAACCCTGCTGACTACAACAGTCTGCAGCCATAAAAAGCCTTCACTGACCTGGAGTTGGCTTAGAAAGTGCCTCTGCAGACAAACAAAAAAGTACATGCAATGTTTATGTTCAAAGATAGGAGAGAGGCAAGCTCTTGTGGTGGTGCTGATAGGCGCAAAAGATTTTTAGGGTCTAAATTTAGAATGTTTAATTTTCTTTTGATGGCATTTGTAAACAAAATACCAACACTAAAATGAGAGCAATTTAGCCAGGAAAAGGGGGAGTGTCCAGTCCAGCAGATCAAACCCGCTTCCAAACTCCCCTGGAGAGAAGGGTCTACAAATTAGCACATGACCCTACCTTGGTGTGCCCTGCCTAGCGTCCCTCAACCCCCAAGTTAGCAAGTACGCGTGAGGTTTACACCATCCAAAGTTTCAGAATTAGCTTCTTTTAAACCTCAAGCCAGTACTGGTTTAGTCTCTGGGAAGGGCAATAAAAACACCAAACGAGTCTTTTTAATAGACTGCCATACCCATCTACATATGACTCAATATACAAATACAATAGTTTGAATCTATAGCATTCAAGCTACTGTGAACAGCTGTGAAACCTAAGAAGTTGGTCTTCATTTTTGCATTAAAGAGATTCAATTGAAAACTAAGTAACAGAGGGGGAAAAAAAAGTAAAAGTTTAAGCACTCCTTCACACATCTGAACTTTTGACTCTCCACAGAAGAACTGTATTCCCCTCCCCCAATCTGGTAAAGTAGATCACATTTAATATCAACATTTAAAAACTAGTATCTCTTAAAAAATTATTTTTAAAACACAAAACAGCAGAGCTACTTGCCTTTTGGCAATTTCTGTGCATTTCCCAGGGCTAGTGCAATACTTCCACAGAGAAGTAGACACCCCAAGCTGGAGAGCATGTTGTATTTGCCACCTCGCACGGGGAGTGATGCTGGTGGGCGTCCTGCAACCCTGGAACTGCATTTAAGTGGACTGTCTCCCAGTGACAGAGGCGGGCGGCTGCACTTAGCTCTGCTGTGGGCTTACTCACAGGGGGTGGAGACAAAATGACATCACACCCTTTCCCACACACACCAAAAAAAAAAAAAAAAAAAAAAAGGCACAACAGCAAAAACATACCATCACATTTCTGTCTGCTATGTTGTAACTGTCTCTTCTCTCTGTGATATAAAAATTGAAATTTTGGTCAATCTATATTTGTGAAAGAAAAAGTATTTAGGCAATTCTTAACCATTCGATTTACTCCTTTTAAAAATCCAGAAAAGGCATACCCCAAACCATCGGAACAGAGTAAGACCTTATTAAGAAGGAAACTGTTTTTAATTATCTAGTAAAACAATCCAATTCTTCTTTTAAATGGGAGTAAACTCGTAAAAGTACACTTTGAGCCATTCCGAAGTTCCAATATCATGAGAAACTTTAAAGAGTAAGTCATTTTACATAGCAACTCATTATACATAACAGGCATATATATATAAGCGTATATACACACACAGATACATACATACATATATTCTAGAGATCTGGATGTAGAAATGGAGAAATCGCTATTATTAATTGATCCCCAGCTCTGGGCTGGGCTCTGGAATAGTGCCCTTACCTATATGATTGCATTTTAATCTTCACAGCAGCCATAAAGGAGATACAGCATTATTCCCATTTTACCAGTGAGAAAAACTGAGGCTCAGAGAGGTAAAGTCTCCTGGCCACACTAGGGTATTCTGATGGTTAATCATTTGGGTGGGCTCTGGAATAGAACTGACTGCAGTTTAAATCTGGATGCTCTGGGCGCCTGGATGGCTCAGTCGTTAAGCGTCTGCCTTCTGCTCAGGTCATGATCCCAGGGTCCTGGGATTGAGTCCCACATCGGGCTCCCTGCTCGGCGGAAAGCCTGCTTCTTCCTTTCCCATTCCCCCTGCTTGTGTTTCCTCTCTCGCTGTGTCTCTCTCTGTCAAATAAATAAATAAAATCTTTAAAAAAAAAAATAAATCTGGATGCTCTGTGACTTTGAGCAAATTTCTCCATCTACCTCTCATCAACATTGTGTAAATTCAAGGGCTTGCTCCTTGCGAGGCACTGATCTGATTAATTCACATTTATTAACCCATTTCTTCCCCAAAATAATCTAGCAGGCATGGTCATCACCCACATTTTCCAGATGGAGAAACGGGGCATAGAGAGGTTAAGTGAAAGGCTTGAGGTCACAGTGCTCATCAGCAACTGAGCTGGCATTTTAATCTGGCAATTTAACTCCAGAGCCTCCACTCTTAACTGCTAAACTTTCCATTCTAAACCAGAGATGATAGTACCAATTTCATAAATTTGCTAGCAGGAAGGACTTTGGGACAGTACTTACCATAGCACCTGGCATACAGAAAGCATTTAATAAAGGCCAGATACTGAAAACAACAATCATGATAATAACAAACCCCCAATTAAGGAGAACTATGATTCTAACTGCACTTGTCTGTCTCTAAAGCCCACACAGGTCCTCTCTCCCTCTCCCACAATCTAGACACACTACGGGAATGACTGGGTTAATAAAGTACTTGAAATGTCATCCAAACATTTACATTGACTCTGAAAATAGCTCGTTTCATGGGTTTGCTGTAGCTGAACCATAACACTAAGTGGGAAGTGGTATGCTGGTCTAAAAAAATTCTAGTCAAAAAAGTTACCAAAAGAAAAATTGAAGAGACAGCCCCATCTTCCAAAAAAAGCGTGAGAAGGCACATTGTTAAAGTCATTTGGAGCCGGCCAGGTCTAAGCTCTCACCAGAGGAATGCTCTGGCACCGGCTACGGAAGGGATTGGGTTATTTAACAGGTCTTTTTCATCTCTAATTTTTTACTTGGCTAGGCAGCTCTCGCAAACCCAAGTTTGGACGTTCATCCAGCTGGCACGGCGGTCTCGGCTTCTATATGCCAGTGCCATCAAGTTAAGCCAGTGAGACCACTGTGCTAGCAGGAAATAACAGGTTTTCTGAGAGGGGGGAAAGAAAAACCCCAGCAGAAATATTGAGAAGGCTGGTTCTCCCAACAGTGTGAGGGGCCGGTCCCAGGGTTAAGTAATGGAATTCAAGAGTCAGCTTCTACTTGGCCCGCAGGCTAAGTCCGATCGACGTTAGCAATCAGTATTTGCAGTCTGGAACTGACTGGGGAATAATTAAATAGAGGGCAATCGCCAATTATTTTGTCAGAAAAAGATGGCTGCACTAACTTAGCTAGTAAGACAAGGAGCATTCAATGCAGATGTTAAAGTATTAGAGGTCTTCTCAGACCAGGGAGGAGAAACATCCCAAAGAAACGGACCATGATTCACCTTCTCAGAGAACAGGAAGTTTTCAGTTATGACAGAGTCCCCACCTAAAGAAGAGGCACAAATGCTCCAGAAGAACACGAAGTGCCTTGTTACATGAGATAAAACTTCAGGGCCATGGTCATGTAATCAGTGGAGAGTTAAGGCCATTTTGAAGAAAGAATTACCCTCTGACAATAGGTGATATCAGATAATGTCTGTGGAGTACTTTGTGCATCTCTGTTAGGTTTCTCAGTTGTCACAGAAGAATGCTGACATTAAGCCCTGGTTCAAATGCCTCTGCAGGCACTTGTGTCTGTATTTATCTGTAAATATAAAAATGTGAAGCTCCACGGGGCGCCTAGGTGGCTCAGTCAGTTAAGCATCTGCCTTCGGCTCAGGTCATGATCCCAGGGTCCTGGGATCGAGCCCTGCATCGGGCTCCCTGCTCCACGGGCAGCCTGCTTCTCCCTCTGCCCCCTGCTCGTGCTCTCTCTCTCTCAAATAAATAAATAAAATCTTTAAAAAAAATGTGAAACTCCATTACTTGTGAGATTGTAGAATATTGAATTGTCACCAATATTCGTGGAAAGCCTTTTTTTATACATTTGTTCAAACCCACAGAATATACAACACCAAGAGTAAACACTGATGTCAAATACAATTTCCTGATGATAATGATGTATCAGTGTGAGCCCATCAATTGTGACAAATGTAACTGATTTGTAACAAACTCCGGTGTGGGATGTTGGTAATGAGGAGGGCAAAGGGTATATGGTATATCTCTGCCTGTGTGCGGTAGGTATATGAGAAATCTCTGCACATTCCACTCAATTTTGCTGTGATCTTAAATCTACTCTACAAAAATAAAATCTATTACCAAAAAAAAAAAAAAATCCTTGTTGAGAGGACATTTAGGAATAACTGCTGGAAAAACACATAAAATATATTTGTATTTTCTCTATGTTCTGTGAAGGGATGAACCAATTCTGTTTGTTTATCACTGTAGCCAGTGCCTAGAATATAATAAGGATACAGTATGATGAGTGTCAAATGAAACAGAATCCATCAATTCCTCCAAATAATCTAAAGGGATCAAGCTAGAGAAAGTTAGACTATGCCTTGGAATGCACAGTTGTCGGGGGACAATTCTCCAAGGGACCCTCATGTTTCTGTGTATCTTATAAGCGAAGGTACTGATTTCCTGTGCTCCAGACTATCTTTCCAAAGATGTTTATATAGGAAACAGGCTTGGAAGATAGAAGTTTGTTTACTGTCCCATAGAATAAAAGGTAATGTCTTCCCTCTGGGGCAAAAAGGGAACACTTGCTCATATCCTATTAGCAAAGAGCCAAGTTCCCTAAGCTCAGGGTTTCTGCGGCATGTGTAGGTATCACCCATACCTCTTTGCATTGCCCTTTGGGAATCTGAGCTCCTAGAATGGGAACAAACGTGATATTCAGGCTAATGCTATTGCTGTGAGTAAATAAACTGTCCTTTGTCTTTGACCCTGGAGTCTGGTGTCTCCTGCCAGCATTAGTGAACCATGCATGCTAGTGTGCACATAGGGTAAAATCTCAACCCTTCACAATTCTTGACAATAAGATTGGCACACTCCAAAATACCTTTTTAGATAAACTTTGGTATAATGCCATGATCAACATTCAAGTCTACTGTAAGAATCAACAATGAAACTTTCTGCTGTGCATAGTAAGAGCATTGTTAGACATTGCTTATTAAATCATAGAGTATCCTCTTTATTACAACTCTGGGGGAAAAATTCTGTTCTTTATGTAAAAAAAAAAAAGACTAGTTTTTTTCCTGGGCAACTGTATTTATTTTGTGACATTGTAACCAGGTTTTTCTTACTGTGTTGACGGATAGAAAACCAGGGCCAAATGTGTCCCCCACCCATACTAAGTGTATAGGTCTTTGTGGTGTGCATGTTTTGGCATCATTCCTGGCTTTGTTTTTCATCCCACCCTTATTTGTTGCTTATCTTACTTGGAATCTTAATTTATGTGATTTCATAAATTGCTTTCATTGTTGTTTTGGAACCTAGTGAGGGATATACAAACTCGACACACAAGAGTTGTGTCAAAAGTATATATCAAAATATGTGAAGTGAGAATCTGGGAACTTGTTCTCTGCTTTCTTTTTCACACAACAGTAAACCCTGATGGAATTCTGGTCCAATGATCATATAGCATCACCTCTTTATATATATTTTCTCTTTGCAAAGTAGACAAAAGACAGGAGGAAATCCAGAACACTACACTAAACACATGTCAGATTTTTCAGTCATTTCACATTTGGATTTTGAAGCATTCAATATTAATTCCATTGTTTCAAATGAGCTTTCCACGAAAACTCATAAATCTTTCTAATCTTGGACGTAAACTCAGTGCAGTCATTTTACCTATCAGTTCACAGTTTGTAGTCTCTCCTTCTTAAGGTCCTGTGCTAGGACATTTTAAAAGGCTTATATATCTACAATTAATAATATGCAAAGGTATGCTGTGGCTTTCTATGGGATAATAATAAAAATAACATTTTATTATGACTCATATTTGAAAGAGGTACCCCAATATTCCATATTTTTAGCCCAAATGTTGTTTCTATAATTACTGGCTGAATGATACCCATGATTCAATTGTACAAATATCCTGTTCCATTGGGGGTA